TTGATTTTCCCCGTCCAAGACCAATGACAATTGCTGCTGATAATTTCTCTAAATTTTAAAGCTGGAATACTTAACTTGATTTTTGTCCCTTGGGAATAAATATTGGAGCATTAGAGAGGAATTTCAATTTTATATTGTAATAATAACAACAACAACAATAAAAATAATAATAATGTACTCATTTCTGAGATTTGTCTAGAGAACCAAAACTTTTGTTGTTAAACATCAGTATTCCAACATTTTTCTGTTTTCTTATTTGGTTTTTATTTTTAAATATTTTTTATGCAAGTGCATGTTTTATGCTGAACATATTCCCCTCCCAAGTCTTTTACTCTTTATTTCTTTAACTTTCACTCATTTTATCTCTCACATTTGTTCCTATGGTGAGTTCAGTATACATATTGATATATATGTACATGGTTCTATATATTTATATAAGATGCTGGATCAAAAGTCAGATCAAACCTGATATTTGTGCTTTTTAGACTATCTTTATCCCCTTACTATGATTATCTACAATTTCTTTATTTTTCTTACAAGTGGCATAACATTAGTATTATTTATAATTTAAAAATATAATATATATATTAAATATACATAATGTATACTCCATGTTTTTGAAACATTTCTTTTTTTACCATACCCAAATATTAATTATATAAATTAACTGATATGAATAATGCTGCAATAAAAATTGATTTGCAGGTATCTTCAGGAGTTGTATCTGGTGTGGAGGGTTAAATAGTAAATTTACCCAATACCCTTTTTTGGTTGGTTTTACTTTTTCAGGAAGCTTCAGAAGTATGGCTTGCTGGGGAACGTGTGTGCTTAGGGCTAAGTTTCAAAAGTTAATGTCATATGTGTTTTCAAGTTTGCTCCATTTTGTTTCCTATTTGTCAATGGAGATGTAAGTTCTCAGCTGTTCAGGTAAATGAGCCTGGCCCTTGTTGCTATGCTTCTCTGAAGTAGTGGTGATAGACTCTTAGTGTTTGGGAACTAAAGCCTAATATAAACTCCTTCCCTTGGCCATATTTGATCACAGCAATTGAAAGTCAACAAATACAGCTGAGTCACAGTGGTAGGTCTATTTTGGATTTTTAGGAAACAAAAACAAAAACTATCATTTCAACTACCATAATGCCCTTAGTAGTTGATTTCTTTCTCAGTGGTATTTTGAAGCAAGCTTACACTGAGTAGCAAGGCTTTCCTCAAACTCACATCAATCCTCCTGCCTCTGAATTTTAAGTACTAGAATCACAAGTATCAGGCACCATTCTTCCTTCAATAGTTCTTTTTTCATAAATGTAATCAGAAAGAAGTTGGGGTTATAAGATAAATTGATAAATAAGGTTTGACATACAGGAATTATTACTAATGGATAGCATTCCTACAAACATGATTCAAATTATATTCTTTTCCAGACAGGGTTACTCTGTATTGCTTTGGAGGCTGTCCTGGAAATCGCTCTGTAGACCAAGCTGGCCTCGAACTCACAGAGATCCGCCTGCCTCTGCCTCCTGAGTGCTGGGATTAAAGGCATGCGCCACCAATGCCCGGCGTCAAATTATATTCTTATGTATCACTATGTCCATTGTACATTATAGTTTACATGTTGAGTTTTAGGAGTATAAAAATTTCTATGCATGGCTTTTTCTTTTTGGGTAATTAATCAATGTGCATATTTATTTACATTTCTTTTTAGATTTGCTTTTTATATTATAACTAAAATAATTTCCTGCTGTGGAATAATACTTTTGCACACTGTAAAATTGGTTTAATAAAAAGTTCCCTGGTCAGTAGCCAGGTAGTAGGTATAGGTGAGAAAACCATAGGAAGGATGCCGGGATTAAGAAGGGTGGTGCTAGAGGCTTTGCCAGACATATACAAAGAATGTGGGATGTCTACAAAATGGGGTAACAAGCCATGAGCCATGTGGTAGAATGAAGATAAGTAATATGGATTAATTTAAGTTGGAAGAACTAGTTAACAATAAGCCAAGGTATTGGCCAAATATTTACGAAGAATATTAGATTTCTGAGTGATTATATGGGAGCAGCTGAAGGCAAAGAAAACTCAAGTCACAGTATCTCTTCCTCCCTCCAAACCTTTCCATATACTACTCCAAACTCTCGGCCAAATTCATGGCCTTGCATATCTCTAATTCTTACTGTATACATGCATACTTCTTTCCTAAAGTTACCCTCATCAACTCATAGGTTACTTGTATGTATATTTCTAGTGCTGACTCTTTGATACTACACAATCATTTCATGTGTTCTTCCTAAGGAAGACCACTTCTCCCCTTTCCAGTTTTCTTCAGTTGACCATTTTTCTTTATGTCATCTTGAAGTATCGTGAACTTTTCATTATGTACTTTGACATGAACATTAATGTCACAAACTTTTAGAGAAAGACTACTAAATTTTACACGTTTTTATTGTGTGTGTACATATGTATGTATATGTGAGTGACGACTAGAATGTGAATATAGAAGCAAGTGGACAATCTGTAGTGTTTAGACTTTCTTTTCACCATTTGTAAGACAGTGTTCAACTAACTTCTGTGCCAGGCTCATTGGGATTAGGATACTTGTGCTCTTGAATCCACTGAGCATTTATATAGATTCTGGAGATCAGAACTCAAGTTATTAGGCCTGTAGAAGTTCTCATCCTCTTCCTCAGCTCCAATACATTGTAAAAATGTTTCATTTATTGACATATGATTGAAATGTAGTAACTCTAACAAGGAATCACTTTAAAATGAGTTTGAATATATTGCTAAAACTTGTAATTTATGTAGTAAGGACTAACCCCATCACAATGAGGAAACTATGAAAACTTTTAATAAAGTTTTTGTCAGGGGTGGGCTCCCTCTCATGGTATGAGTCTCAAGCTGGACCAGTCATTGTTGGTGACTCTCACAATTTCTGTGTCACTTTACCCCAGCACCTCTTGCAGGCAGGAAAATTTGTAGGTTGGATGTTTTGTGGCTGGATTGGTGTCCAATACCTCCCCTGGAAGTCTTGTCTAGTTGCAGATGGCCACTTAAGTCTCCATCGCCCTCATTGCTAGCAGTCTTAACTAGTGTCACTCTTGTAGATTCCTGGGAAATTTTTTTTCTTTTTCTTTTTCTTTTCTTCTTTTTTTTTTTTGGTTTTACGAGACAAGGTTTCTCTGTATTGTTTTGGAGGCTGTCAATCCAGCCTGGCCTCGAACTCACAGAGATCAGCCTGCCTCTGCCTCCCGAGTGCTGGGATTAAAGGCATGCACCACCAATGCCCGGCCGACGGCATTATTTTTAAGAGCTGAGTAATACAATGTTATGTAAATGTGTCACATTTTTCCATTCTTCAGTTAAGGGATATGTAGGTGGTTTACAGTTTCTAACTGTTAAAAATTAAGATGCTATGAATATAGTTGAGCAAGTGTCTTTGTGGTATGGCAAAGCATCTTTTGAGTATATGCCAAGTAGAGATATAGTTGAGTCTTCAGATAGATTGACCCCAAATTTTCTGCGAAAATTGCCATGTTGATTTGCAAAGTGGCTGGAAAAGTTTGCACTACTGCCAGCAATGCAGGAGTGTTCCCCTTGCTTCACTTTATCCCACTGTCACTTGCATTTTTATCTTAGCCATTCTGACATGTGTAGTAGCTAAAGAAGTACAATAAAAATGTTTACAAATTAAAAGTAAGTTTTTCATCTATGTGATATACTATGAGCCGTGCTTTTCCTCCGAATAGGTGGCCTCCTTTGGCATTGCTATGACAGCTTGCACCTTGTCTTATTATGTTATGTTAGCTTGATATCTCTAGGATACCTGGTTTTTTGGAAGGGAAATTGACTGGGAAGAGAGGAAAGAGGGGAAACTGCAGTAATAAGTAAAAGAATAAAAGAAAAGTTTTGTCACACTTCAGTGAAAATTGCAGTTTACTCTGCTTGGACACCCCTTGGGGGAGGGGGTGAGAAGATGGATACCCCTTGTTGGAGGGTTAAGAAGATGCAACAGCAATGATTCAGGCACTGGGAGTCAGTGAGTACCAGAGCGTGCTGCAGACTCATGTAGTAAGGAAGTTAGGCCTGCCTTTATACTCCCTCCCAAGGTCCCATTGGCTCAAGTGGCTGACTCTGCTGCATTGGACATTCCTCACTGGTGTCTCTGATCCAATGTCTCTTCATCAGCAGTCTCTGGATTTAGGGCAGGCTTGTCTCAGAGAGGAAGTGCCTGCTGTGCATGCTCAGGCAGGCTGATCTGGGGACCTGCAGCTTGGGTAGGGTGACCACTGTTTCTCCTAAAAGTGAAAACTGTAAGAAGCAGAATGATGATGTTCATAAATCTTTCAGAAAAAATATTACTCAGAATGAAGGGAATTCAATTATGTAAATGTACATGCAATCATAAATACTGATCTTGTTTTATTAATTTGTTTGTTTGTAGGTAGTCTCTCATGTCCAGGCTGACTTCGAATTTATTCAGCTTAAGATGACAATAAACTCACGATTCTCGGTAAAATAACTTAACAGTTCTGGGATTTAAGTAATGTGTCACCATGCCTGGTTTTATCCCATCTTGGGAACAGAATTCAGGTTATTTCAAATGCTAGGAAAGCACTTTACCAACTGTGTTTTCTCCTTATCTTGATATTATTAACCTTGATTTTAGATGTTCCTGGAGCTGAGAAGCCATATCCCAAAGTTCTCATTTTGGCCATCTACATAAGTGGGAGACAAAGAAGAAGCCACCTTCCTGTGAAATTATCAATATAATGGAGATTGTAATGTGTTTTACAATGTACTGTGGTTGTTAGCCCATAAAAGGCAGACTAAGACTTCTTTCCTCTTTCTGTCTCTAAATAGCTGCCTCGTGTATAGAAAGTATGAGATTGAGCATTATGTTTATAATTTTAAGTGATCTGTGTATGGATGTAAATGTTATATTTAATAGGGGATTAGCCCTTCTACGAGTGAAGATGATTTAGATGGATGTAACTGTTCTTTTTTCCCCAAGTCTCCCAATTCACAATAGAGCAGGCACAATGGCCTAGGCCGAGGTATACATGGGATAGGTTTATTCTACCTCTTCTTTCTATATAGTCAGTGTGAGAACACAGCCAGTGGCAAGCACAAGGATAACAGATTTATCAGCTCTTAATTCAGACTCTTGAATATATTCATAAAAGTCAGAGTCAGATGTCTCAAAAATTTAGAAATTTCAACTAAATCCCAAATTAATTCAATTGGGAAGACTACATCTGAATTTAAGAAAATATGCACTACAATATAACTTTATAATTTTAAGAGAAGGAACTCACAAAAAAGAAAATATCTAGAAAAAAATGGAAAAAAAAGAAAAGCCCACAGTTACTAAGGATAACGAACATAATCAGTGCTAGTAAACTTTTCCAAAGAAGCCAGCAAAATTATTTTCTCAAAATATCTTTAAGGTGATGAAAAAAAATTAAGGCAACATAGAATTCCATAATCTTTTATTTTGTATCTAGAATAAGCACCAGAATAAATACAATTGTTGATTAGAATTTGAAGGACAGAAAATTCTAATCGAGATTATGATTTCTACCTACTTATTTTTTTCAATATGAAATCATTCTTTAATTTTTTAAATTTTTACTTTTAAATTTAAATTTAAATTAGAAACAAGGTTGCTTCACATGTCAATTCCAGGTCCCTCTCCCTTTCCCTCCCCTCCTCCCATGACATCCCACCATCCCCTCCAATATCCCCTCATTTCCCCAGGGAGGGTGAGGACCTCCATGGGGGTGTCCATAATCTGTCATTTCATCCAGGGCAGGGCCTAGACCCTCCTCTGGGAGTCCAGAGTGAGAGTGCATCTCTCACTGTTGGATGGGCACCCAGAGTCCATTTGTATACCTGGGATAAATACTGATCTACTACCCAAGGCCCCATAGATTGCCTGGGCCTCCTCACTGACACCCGTATGTCAGTCCCATGGTGAATCCCAGCCATCAGTCTGGGATTCAGGAGCTAACCCTTGTCAGGTCAGCTGTTTCTGAGCATTAAACCAGCCAAGTCTTAACCCATTTGCTCATCAGTCCTCCCTCTCTGTCACTGGATTCCAGTGTTTAGCTGTGGGAGTCTGCCTCTGCTTCCATCAGCCCTTGAATGAAGGTTCTGTTTCCCAGACTCTCTGGTCATGGGATGTAGGGTGGTACTCTCCAGATCTATTTCTAAAATCCATATATGAGAGAGTACATGCCATGTTTCTCTTTTTGTGACTGGATTACCTCACTCAGGATGATTTCTTCCAGTGTCATCCATTTGCCTGCAAATTTCAGGATTCCATTATTTTTTTCTGCTGAATAGTACTCCATGTGTAAATGTACATTTTCTTTATCCACTCTTCAGTTGAGAGGAATCTAGGTTGCTTCCAAGTTCTGGCTATTACAAATAATGCTGCTATGAACATAGTGGAACAGATGTCCTTGTTGTATGAATGTGAATCTTTTGGATATATGCCTGAGAGTGGAGTTGCTGGGTCTTGTGGTAGGTTTATTCCCATTTTTCTGACGAATCTCCATACTGATTTCCAAAGTGGCTGTACAAGTTGGCACACCCACCAGCAGTGTAGGAGTGTTCCCCTTTCACCACAACTTCTCCAGCATAAATTGTCATTGGTGTTGTTGAATTTAGCCATTCTGACAGGAGTAATATAGTATCTCAGAGTTGTTTTGATTTGTATTTCCCGGATTGCTAAGGATGTTGAGCACTTTCTCAAGTGCTTCTTAGCCATTTTAGACTCCTCTATTGAGAATTCTCTATTTAGTTCTGTGTCCCACTTTTTAATTGGATCCTTTGGTATTTTGGAGACTTGCTTCTTGAGTTCTTTTTAAATTTTGGAGATCAGCCCTCTGTCAGATGTGGGGTTAGTGAATATCTTTTCCCATTCTGTGGGCTGACTTTTTGTCTTGCTGACTGTGTCCTTTGCCTTGCAGAAGCTTCTCAGTTTCAGGAGGTCCCATTTATTAATTATTGACCTCACTGTCTGTGCTACTGGTGTTATATTCAGGAAGCTGTCTCCTGTACCAATAGAAGCAGAAGGGTCTTTGCCAAACTCTTTCTACGAGGCTTCAACAATCTTGATCCCCAAGCCACAAAAAGACACAACTAAGAAAGAGAACTTCAGACCAATATCCCTCATGAACATTAATGCAAAAATACTCAATAAAATACTGGCAAATCAGATCAAAGAACACATCAAAACAGTCATTTGCCAAGGTCAAGTAGGTTTCATCCCAGGGATGCAGGGATTGTTCAACAAACAAAAATCCATCAACGTAATCCACCATATAAACAAGCTGAAAAACAAAAATCACATGATCATCTCAATAGATGCAAAAAAGCCTTTGACAAAATCCAACACCCCTTCATGATAAAGGTCTTGGAGGGATCTGGGAAAACAGGAACATACCTAAACGTAATAAAAGCTATATACAGCAAACCAATAGCCAGCATCAAAATAAATGGACAGAAACTCAATGAATTTCCGCTAAAATCAGGAACAAGGCAAGGCTGTCCACTCTCTCCATACCTTTTCAATATTGTACTTGAAGTTCTAGCTAGAGCCATAGTACAACAAAAGGAGATCAAGGGGATACAAATTGGAAAAGAAGAGGTCAAACTTTCACTATTTGCAGATGATATGATAGTTTACATAAATGACCCAAATAACTCTTCCAGGGAACTCTTTCAGCTGATTAACACCTTCAGCAAAGTGGCAGGCTACAAGATCAACTCAAGAAAATCACTAGCCCTAGTGTATACAGATGATGAAAGGTACCTAGTCTACCTGCAAATGCCAGGCATTAAAATAAAGGAACAACTCTACACCTATGTATAATACTAACTGGACTTGGTAGGTTTCATATAGAAATGTATAAAGTGGTTGTATATACATACACACACATATAGCTTTGTTTTTACTTGACTGTGATGTGAGTATGTCTAATTTATAATGATTTCTGGAAAGGGGCCTGGATAATTAACTCCAATTATTTTTGAAAATTTATACTTCCTGATGATGTAATATAGTCATTTATGTGATTCTTGAACTTTCTTTTCACTAGATCATAACAAGAACTGATTATTATTCTGAAAATCTAGTAGCTGAATTACCTTATACATGTTCTACATTTGCTGCTATTATTGTCTGATTTAATATTTTCAGTCTATACTGGCTTCCACTTTTTTCTTTTTTTTCAGGGTATAACTTGTTTTTTATTTTTTCTCAATATATATTTTTATTTAAATTAGAAACGTGAATGTTTCACATGTCAGTCCCAGCTCCCTCTCCCACCCCTCCTCCCTTTGTCTCCACCAGCTGTCCCAGCCCCCACCCAATCCCCACATCATTCCCCAGGGATGGTGAGGCTCTCCCTGGGGGGTATTTCTAAAATCTGTCATTTCATCCTGGGCAGGACCGAGGCCCATTCCCATGTGTCCAGGCTCAGAGAGCATCCCTCTATTTGGACTGGGCTTCCAATGCTCATTCATAAACCATGGTAAACACTGATCTACTACCCAAGGCCCCAGTGATTTCTGTGGCTTCCTCCCTGGCACTACATTGATGGAGTCTGGATCAGTCCCCTGTTGGCTTCTCTTCCATCAGTCTGGGATTCAATAGCTCCCCCTTATCTAGTCAGCTCTCTTTGTGGGTTTCATCATCATGGTCTTGACCCCTTTGCTGATCACTCTTCCATCTCTTTCACTAGGTTCCAGGAGTTCAGTTCAGTGTTTAGCTGTGGGTATCTGTCTCTCCTTCCATCAGTCCCTGGATGAAGGTTCTAGGATGACATTTGGGTAGCCATCAACCCTGTCATCAAGGAAGGGCTATTCGTGTAGTCTCTCCACTATTGTTTAGGTTGCCAGTTGGTGTTGTCATTGTAGCTCTCTGGAGATCTCACTAAAGTCAGCTCTATCCTCAAGCCTAAAATGACTTGATATATTATGGTATCTCTCATTCTACTCTCCTCTATTCTTACGTCAAATCCACCTTCCTGCTCCCCCATGCCTTCTTCTCCCTTCCTCTTCTCCCCTTCTCTCTTTCTTGGTTCCCTCTCCCCTCCCCAGATGTTCCCAAACCATTTTTGTCGTTAAATATTTATGCCTAATTTTATCATATGTTCATCATTAAAGCAGCTATGAAATTTTCACCTACAATATGTTACTAGTCAATGGTGCATTTATTTCTTGAGAGAAAATTTATTTAGCATTAGTAAATTGAATGTACTTTAATACTCAGATCATTTTCTTCGTGAATTCCTTTCATTGGATAAGTTACTGAGAAGATTCTCCCTATTCCTGGGTAGTTTAAAGAAATATCAAATAACCCTATGGTATTTTTATTCTATGTTACTCTATATTTAACCCAAGGCGTCATCAGCCTCATGACTCACCTGCCTCTACCTTACAAGTTTTGAATTGCAGTCATTAACCACTGCTTTTATCCGTGCTTTGATAAAAGTTATGGTTATATCAAAAGAGAAAACGAAAAGATGCCTAAAATGTATTGTCGGAGATATCTTCTCTATTATATTAACAGTTTCATACATGACTATAATTTGAAAAATACATATTCAAATAATGCTCTGTCATTTTTAATTCCTCTGGAATATGGATTTCTTTTCCTTAGTACTACATGGTTTCTTTTTGTATTTCAACACTTGGGTTTTCTCAGAAATGAAAAATAGAGGTATCTTATGACTCAGCTCCATTAGTTGTATACAGTTTGAGAGACATTTGTGGCATCATGAGACTTACTAAACATGTAGGAAGTGGTCTCCTGTGCCAATTCGTTCAAGGGTCCCTCCACTTTCTCTTCTAAGAGGTTCAGTGTGGCTGGATTTATGTTGAGGTCTTTGATCCATTTGGACTTAAGTTTTGTGCATGTGGATAGATATGAATCTGCAGTCTTCTACATGCCAACATCTAGTTATGCCAGCACCATTTGTTGAAGATGCTTTCTTTTTTCCATTGTATAATTTTAGCTTCTTTGTGACAAATTAGGTGTTTGTAGCTATGTGGGTTAATATAACAGCTTTCAATTCCATTTGTCTACCTGTCTATTTTTGTGCTAACACCAAGATGTTTTCAGAGCTA